ATGATCACCATCTTAGCTAAAGGTTTCCTACAGGCTTCTTTACTATACCCTATTGCCAACAAACCACTCCCACTTTCACTAGTCAAAGGAAAACTCAAAAATTTCTACTTCTTATCTTCAACTCTAAATGGATTCTTTTTGCATTACTTTCTTAAATAAACCAACATGCTATTTGTCCCATGCGTTCTAGAACTACAAGCATAGTCATTCCCACAATAATTACATACTGCTCTTTTATCACCTGGATTAGCCCATTTCTTAATAGTAAAATTATCCCAAACCTCATATTTCTTAACATGCTTTCTCTTACCATTTGTCTCCTCATTTTCTAAATCAATCACATTTTTGTTTGGTGATCTAGGGACTGGTGTTTTGAAAAAAAATTTAGGGTCAGCCGATTGGATTTTACGAGTAAGGGATGGGGAAGGTGATGATACAGATCCAGAAATTTGGGTGTTGTTGCTTGATAATGATAAGAACTTGTCCATCCTAAACAGAAAATATAACACCAGCCAAAGTCCAAACCAATCAACACGTTCACAAAACAGACAAATCAAAAATTAAAAATCACATTGACACATTCACTAATCACATAGCTGAAATCACATAGCCATAATATAACACCAGCCAAAGTCCAAACCGATCAACACGTTCACAAAACAAACAAATCAAAAATCAAAACTCAAAAACGAAGACATTGATAAAATGATAAGATAAAAAGAAGATACAAAACAAAACTCAAAAACGTAGGAAACTAGAACAACAGCCACTTAAACAAAAAGAATAATTCAAAAGTGTTTCTATATCCTCAAGAATCCCACAAAAATCCCAAGAATTTAGCCTTTTTCAAAAGTGTCTAAAAGCTGTAACTTCTTATCCTCAAGAATCCTTACGTTCCTCTCCATTCAAGTTGTCCACATCTTAAATTCAAAATCAAATGCTAAAAATAAACAAATTTCAGATTTACCTTAGAGCCGAGAGGAGAAGCGGAGACCGGAGGAGAAGAGAAACGGAGACCGGAGAGGAGAGGCGGAGACCGGAGTTGGGTCTAGAGGAGAGGCAGAGAAGAGAGGAGAGGCGGAAATCTGAGGAGGAGAGGCGGAGATCCGAGGAGGAGAGGCGGAGAAAGCCGAGAGGAGCGGCGGAGATCCGAGGAGGCGAGGCGGAGAAAGCCGAGAGGAGAGGCGGAGATATGAGGAGGAGAGGCGGAGATCCGATGAGAGGAGAGGCGGAGAGGAGAAACGGAGACCGAGGAGAAGAGGCGGAGACCGGAGTTGGGCCTAGAGGAGAGGTGGGGAAGAGAGGTGAGGCAGAGAAAGTGGAGGTCGTCGTGCGTCGAAGAGGGGAAGGCTCAAGAGTGAAGGGCTGAAGGTGATTCGGTGAAGGCTGTCGTCTGAAGTGAAGAGTGAAGAGTGAAACTGAAGACTGAAGACTCAGTCAGTCTAGGGTTAGATATTACAAATAAGACCCAACCCATTAAAGGTTGTTTATGGGGTGTGCGAGTTGAGTTTGGGTGTACAGATCATTATAGATCTAATCCACACCTCACCTTAAAATTTCAGTCAGGTATTGAATGGGCCAAAAAAAATTAATGTTAAAAAGGGAGAAAGACGAAAGTAGACCAAGACTTGAGGTGAATTAAAATTAATAGGCTAATAGTTTACATAAGTTAATAAATAGGTCAAATTACTGTTTTTGTGCATAACTTGTCTGGTTATGAACCATAACTTGACAAGTTATTATTAATAATTTACAATTTTTGTTTATAATTTGTCTGACTATAAACCATAACTTGACAAGTTTGTCCATAACTTATATGGTTATAAATCATAACTTAACAAGTTATGACCTATTAATTTCTATAACTAAAAATTAACATATATACTTTCTTAAACTTTTTATATTGACATATTTTTTACTATTTTCGTGTTAAAAATTACATTTTTTAAATTAAATTAGAGTGAGTTGAGTTGAACCTGCACGTTTTGTAGGTTCATGAACAGCCCTATTTAAACATAACCTACAGAATAATTAATTTTTTATTTTTGTACAAATGACATCTAAATTACTTGAAGTAAGAGTTAGCGCAATCTTACAAAACGAGTCACCAATGCGCTTATGTGTAATTTCAAATGTGGTGCTTCTATCAACTAAAAAGCCCATGGGGAGAGGTGTGTCGGGCAAGGCTGCGACGTGCTCGCGGCGGCGGTGGCTGATTTTGTGCTCTTCTTCTCTCGCACACTCCTCGTTAGGTTTCGTTTTAGTTCTTGTACGAGCGAGAGGCGAACGACGGCAGAGATTGAGGTCAAGAGGACACCATCGGGGGCGAGCAAAGCGAAGACCTTGTTGGCCAAACTGGGATCGTTGGATGCGATGACGGTGTTCATCCAGCCGTTGGATGATGATGATGGCGTTGGCGACGGCGGGGATGACGAAACGGCGTTGTCGAAGCCGAAGAGCTTGCAGATTAGGGTTGGGAAGGTGAGAGAGAAGAAGTGGAGGGACTGTCGGGTGAGTGGGAGTGCAGGAAGGGGTCAATGGAGGCGGATGCGAGGAGATCTGAGCGGTGGTGGAGGAGCCAAGGATCGCGGCGGCGAGGTCTTGGGATTCAGAGAGGGAGTCAACGAGAGTTGAGAGAGAGAGACTAGAGAGAGAGAGCTTGTTTTTAATTTTAAGCTTTTTCTTTTAATTTTTAATTTACAGGGTACCAATATATGATATTTTCCCTAAAATTTTGTTACGTTAGCAACTAGGTGAATGAACTTTGAAATATTCTCAGGCCCGTTTATTTCACCGATTCGAGTTTAGAATTCGAGTTTTGTTACAGTAAAAAACTCTCAGAAACAGTCACATCTAATTTTTTTGTTACAATAAAAAGCTCTCACATAAAATCACATCTCAACTTGAATTACAAACTCGAATCAGCGAAGTGAACGGGCCCTCAATGGCCCTAAAACCCAGAAAGAAAGCCGAACAATACGACCTCTAAGTTCAAAACTTTCCATGTATAAATGCATTTCATTTGCATTATTCAAAATCGCATTCTCAGCAATCGAAGGGAGAATTTAGAGACAAGTTGAAGAAAGAAAAAATGGACAGAAAAGAGATTACGAGTGATGAGAGAGGTCTGATTAGCCAAGGCCGAGGTATGTCGGGCAAGGCAGCGACGGGCTCACGGCAGCGGTGGCTGATTTTCTGCTCTTCTTCTCTCGCACACTCTTCTTTAGGTTTCGTTTTAGTGAGATTGTTCTCTTTTTTTTTTTCAAAGTTATTGAGGGTCATTTAAGTAAGAGAGAAATTGGAAAATAAGTCAAGACTTTAGATAAATTAAAATTAATAGGTCAATAATTTACATAAGTTAATAATTATGTCAAATTATTATTTTTGTCCATAACTTGTCTGGTTATAAACCATAACTTAACAAGTTATTCACGATTTTTATTCATAACTTGTCTAGCTATAGACCAAAACTTGACAAGTTTGTCCATAACTTATCTGGTTATGAACCATAACTTATCTGGTTATGAACCATAACTTGTCAAGTTATGGCCTATTAATTTCTATAACTAAAAATTAGCCTATATACTTTCTTAAACTTTTTATATTTGCCTATTTTCTACTATTTTCGTTTAAATAATTTGGGTCAAAAATTAATGTCCGCTGTTTTCGTTGGTTCAAGTAATTGGTAAAAAAAACAATTTTTTTAAAAGAAAAAAAAAACCCTTTTCATTCAATAATACATTGGTAAATTAAAAAAATGATCAAATTATTTTGATACTTTATTATTGTGAAATATCTCACTGAACTATGTTTTAAATAATATTAAAACCGTATTTTTACTTTTAAAAAGAAAAAACATTCTTTTAATATTTGAGACCGATTTAATACATAAAATATTTATTCTACCATTCTCACTAATTAGTAACAAGCTAATACTTTTTTTAAGGGAAAAAAAAGCATTCTGCAAATACTTTGAAACACTCGTTTACTTCGCTGATTCGAGTTTGTAATTCGAGTTGAGATGTGATTTTGTGTGAGAGCTTTTTACTGTAGCAAAAAAGTTAGATGTGACTGTTTCTGAGAGCTTTTTACTGTAGCAAAACTCGAATTCTAAACTCGAATCGACGAAATGAACGGGGCCTTAAAAATTAAAAAATAACATAAGTTAAAATGTTTTTAAAAAATATTTTTAAAGTTATTAATTTCTATTTGATTAATGAAAATAACAGTTTAGACATTATCGATCTAATGGTATCAAAAGAAGATTTCTTTAAAAGTAAAGGTACCATATTAATATTATTAAAAACAAAAAGTTTCAACGAGATGTTTCACTATAATAAAGATTATCAAAATGATTTTATCCCATAGAGCGTTTCATTCAAAATTACTAATGGAATTGATTGTTTATCAGGGTAAGTTCAGTGGTAAAATCAAAATACCTAAAGTTTAAGGAGCTTATGTGAGATTAACCTTTAAAAAAAAGAAAAAAAAACATTGCTAAGGCATATCTTATCCAAAATAAATAAAATAGTATAGAACTACAGATAGTAAAAATTACACTATATTATTCATTAACAAGAAAAGAGTTAAAAATATAACAACTTTTTAAAAGTATTTTAAGAATGGCTGAATTTCTATTTTAATTAAAATATAGGAATGACAAGAATAAAGTAAATATATATATATATATAACATAAAACAATGGTTTGGCAGGCGCCGGGAGCAGCTGTAGGCCTATAGGTCGAGCGAGTATTAAGAGGATGTAGAGATTCAACATCCGGATGCAGTCATAGTGACTCGTGTGCGAGAGTTGGATTGGGGTGGTTTTCGCGGGCATGCAATGAATCAAGATAGATGGGCTCAAGAGCAGGAGTCCTTGAGGACCTTGACTAACCGGACTACGTCACTGAGCACTTACAGCCTAAGGCATGTAGTAATTAATATCTTCCCTATAAAAAATTAAAAATCATAAAACTAAGACTCCATTAGTTGCAGTGGAAAATAAGAAAGAAAATTTGCAATGTTGTCCATCATATTGAATCCAGATGATTGATAAACAAAAATGACATCTGTTTCTAGAAAAAAAGATACATTTTATGAAAGGCCGTAATCGATCAAATATTTTCATGGGGCCAATAATTTGCTGCATTCCTCTTTCAGTATGTCTCTGTACAACTTGTACCAAAAGGAAGATCTATACAGTTCTTTATTTTCCTTTTACTTCGTTTTTTTGTTTACTTTATTTTTTTTTACTTCTCTCCACCTACGTTTGCATCTGGCATGTTTATATTGCCAGTGTTCCTTCAGTCACACTCTCATCTGAAGAATCTGAAGACGGAGCTTTGGGTTTATTCATGACCCGCGAAAACCCATAGCCAAGTGAGCTTCCGCTAGTTTGACACAGCTGGAGACAAAACAAATGCCAAAGACATCACTTCAGGTGACAACTATAAGAGCTACACGAGAAACAATGGTTGTAAGAAAATAGGCTTAAAGAAATAAATAGCTCTATATTTAGTACCTCGGCTAGCTCAGATAGGTGCCGAGACCTAAATTCGTTGATAGTTGCTGCAATCTCTGACATTGGAAGTTTAGCCTAAACAAGAACAAGGAGGAGATGACAATAAAGAAAAATGAAAAAGAAAACCCAAAAGCAAATGGTATGATCATTTCCTAAAGAACTGTACATATATTTTACAACAGTGTGTTACAAAGTTATAAATAGAAAACCTAGTTCTGCTAATTCTGGAGGTAAGGGATATTATTACAAGTGAGATGGCGAAGCTAATACGAATGCAGGTAGTAGGTCACTTGATAATACCACAGTTAAGAGGTGGTCCATTTAATAGTAATGCGTACAAGTGACAGAACAGAATAACATATGATGGGCTTGATGGACTTCACAAAAATCTTAATGAGGCACTGATATCACAAAAATATGCAATGGAATCGTAATTTCAAGTTGGAGCAACGGGGATTCTTCAAGTCATTGGACTACTTATGGACATGGTGTATGGAAAAGCAACATTTATATCAACAGTTATCACACATTTCAAAATTCTTTTCCAGAATAAGTTTGATCTGGGAAGCTCGTCAAAATAGCTTAGTAAAACAATTTAACATGACATTAAATCAAACCATTGTGATTTTAGATTGACAAATAGGGGCAAAACTGAGTGGCTATCTAGGAATGGGTTTTTTAACGCACATTCAAACTTCTCGAAATCCTGGTAAAGAAGATAAAGGTACAAAACATAACTTTTGAATTCAATTGCAAAACCTCAACTTCCTGTTAGTTTCTGTAGCACTTCGAGATGGGATTGCAATGAAAATGGGAATGGAATAATGCTTAGCATTATGAAGGCAGGAGTTCCCCCAGTTGAAAGATTAGATAAATTAAAGGCCGCCCAAAAAGGATAATGGTAAATCAGGGGGCAATTTTCAAGCAAAAAAAAAATATATAAAAAAAAAAATCAGGGGGCAATTTAAAAAGGATAATTACAGATAACTTTAAGCATAATTAGAAAAATATACCACACCAAAGAGTCAAAGTAAAATCAACACGTTCGAAACTTCTAAGCAACTAGACATGTATACCGCTGAGAAAAATTATTTACCTGAGCAAGAACAGCAGCTGCCAACTGTAGACTGGGTTCCAAGGTTTCCGGGACTACCTGTAGGTTTTCTGAGTTAAAAACAATTATGCAAATTATAGGAGATAAATGCAACCAGGTTACTGATTTCTACTAGCAAGGACAAAAAGAAATCAATAACCAATAACCCAGAGGCAAAATCACCCAAATCTTTGTACGATACCATGGAATTGCCCTAGCTTCATGGAAATAATCAACAAAGGAAACAGCTACAATAGGTATCAAGAGCATTACCGCTGTAGCACCAGCCTTTTCCAAGTTAAGGCCATGATCAACGTCATGAGCACGTACAAAAGTCTTCACGTTAGGAAAGTACTTGCTCAGAGCCCAAACAGTTCTATAATTTGCACCAGGTGTGTCCAAAGTTATTGCTGCAGCACATGCTCTTTCAGCACCTACTTTATGCAGCACCTAGGCATCCAGTAGAGAATATGTCAGATCATTCATGCAAATACACACAAGAACTTCCTGATTTCTGTTGCTTTACCTCTCGACTGCCAGCATCTCCGAAATAAACAGGAAGGTCCAATGCACGTCCAACTGCGACTCTATCACTGAACAAGGACAACAAAAACAACAAGGACAACAAAAACAACTATAGTTACTCAATTCTCTTTATTGTTTATTTAACGTCAAAACATTGATGGAGATCACCAAGGAAATGTCCAAATGTGGAAAAAGTGAAGAAACAGAAACAATAATACGCCTGGTTATTTACTTCATTTATTTATTTTCTAAACTAGCTGATATATGGTTAAAAAATCACAAAACATACTCCTGTTATCACCTCTGACTCTCTTAACGATAATATGACGCTTATATCAAGACGTAGACGGGCCACTTATATATGTCAACACATGATATACAATTTGGTTCTTTTATGGACTCATCCAACAAAACAGAAAATTATACCAACAAAAATGAAAACTAATCATGCACAAAGCTTGAAAGCTGTCGTTTTTTTAGGACTTAACATCCTCAATATTACCTCCTCACATCAAGAGCTACAAATGGAATTAGACGCTCTGAGAGAAGCTGGGCAATTATCTGGAACAAACGGGACAAAGTACAGCTATTAAAATTGAAAACATGTTTATTTATACAAGTTTGATTAGGAAAGATTTTAATTAATTTGCAAAAGATTACTCTAAAACGGAAATACCTGGCCAACTCGTCCAAATCCACAAATAATAATATGATCTTGCAAATCATCCGTCTGCAAATTTAATCAACTCATCAGAATCTGAGTTGTAGCATATAGCAGTAATTTCTCACGTTGAACATTTTACCTCACTCTCAACAGGTAATAAACTTCGAACATCATGCTGTTCAAAACGAGAAGCAATTAACTGGCCTCCAGCAGCTAGCCATGGAGTGAGGGCCATTGACATACCCACCACAAGAAACAGTAAAGAAGAAAATTGGGGAGACATTATTGCCTGGACATGAACAATTTGGCCAAGTGATATTAGCAATAAAAATAGATTTTTATTCTCTGTTTTATTTCAATGTTAAAATTAACAATAAATTTTTTTTTCCTTGTCAATAACAAATTTCCAATCAATTTTATGAAAACGTACAAGCAAAACAGTCTTGATAATTAGAATAATCAAAATTTCTTCCACCCAACAGTTTCAACATTTGATTCAGCAGCTTGAAGCTTGTTGGTTCATCCTCATTTTTTAAAGAAAATATTTATTTTTGGGAGAAGGGTGAGCGTGTTGGAGAGGATTACGAAAAGAAATAACCAGCCTTACATAACAATTATACTTTTCTGAAAAGTTATGCCCAAAGACGAGTGACATCTAGAAGATATAAAATTAAAATCAGGCACGCTGCAGATAGATATCCAAATTAGCCGGCAAGCCAAAACGCCTCAAAGACCATGTAAATGATTTAATTAAGAAAAACAGTGTTTAACCTTTGCCAGCAACTTCCACAAGAGCGACACAATCAATAAAGCATTACAAACCTGATTAACAGCTTCACCGAAAGCAACAAATGCAAATTCTCCTCCCGGTGCAAGAAGTAGACCAACTCTTATTGCAGATATTATTGAAATGCCAAATAATTTCCCAACTAAAGCAACCAATAGAGTTTTTCCACCAATTAAGAGTCCCAATGTTCCAGCAATGACAGGGAAGTTGGAAACAAGAAGTTTGGGATCAATAGACATTCCCACCTGCAAGTGAACAAGTTGCATTTAATTGCAAATATTCAGGCATTATTCTCTGCATTACTCCATGTTATACAACTAAAATCAAGTATCAATAGCCTCATCTTTTCAAGAGCAATAATGATATTATACATTTGATTTTATCAAAGTCCATGGATAAGGCAGCACAAACAGCTATCCAAGAGGCTACGTTATAATCATACTGTAAGATGGGCCAATTTTGAGTTTATACTCTTAAGTCTCTAAGATTCATGGCTATAAACATGTTTTTCCCACCCTCATGCATGGTCCTGGATTGGATATGCGGCTATACACTTGCGCTAAAGAAAAAGATACAGAAAGGTCAAACTAAATATATAAATACAAGTGATGAGAAGCGTGCCATGTTATAAATTTGTATGAGAATGTCCGAGACTGGAAACCAAGGAGGGTTTGGATATTTAGTCTAAAGAAGTTGAATCAGGAAAATCAATTTTGCTACCTGTAAAAAGAAACACTAGCACCAGCCACTAAATGCTTAAGTTCAAATCAGGTCGGCTAACTTTGGCTTTTACACGAAAGAAGATGGAAAGAAAAAAAAAAAAAGAAAAAGAAAAGAAAGAAAAGAAAAAAGAAACAAGATTTCATTAACAATGATGAAATAGTGTACACCAGAGGACAAGGAGTCCTCAATCAAGGATCAGGAAAACAAAGCAAAAACTGATAAAAGCCAATGGTAAAACAACAAACAAAGAAATCTGATAAAGAATCTCAATCACTTACTGGGGTTTTATACTACACATCATGTTATAAATAAAAACTTCATTCAAGAAACTGATACAAGAGATGGTCCTAAAGTACCAAAATCCTCGATGGAATTTACAGTTAAAGCATTCCCAATAAGAAGTACCTACCGTCATGAAAAAGAGGCCCAATAAAAGGCCACGATATGGAGCAATATCCGATTCAACCTGCAAGGAAAACTCAGTTTCTGCAAGGAGCAAACCAGCCAAAAATGCTCCCAACGCCATGGAAAGTCCAGCCTGTTCAAGATAGAGAGAGTGAGAGAGAAACAATCATGTAACTCCAAGGAAGTATAAACAGAATGAAAATTCACAATGCCAGTACCCTGGCAGTTAGGAGACTAGTTCCCAGAATAACAAGCAATGTGTTGGCAGAGAAGATCTCAGCGTTTTGATTTTCTGCAATTTGCTTATAAATTGGTCGAAGAAGCTGCAGGAACACACAAAAAGAAGTTAAGTGCATGGCAAAACATAAAAGATGATGCAATCAAAAATCAAAATTGTCATGTAGAGGCCCAGTAAGATGAGTGACAAGCAGTATTTTCATCAAAACGTTTATACACCTTCCCCGCCTACTTTTCATAGATCACACCAGGGTGACTGAGATATTACAGAAGTTTTGATCTAGAACTACACAAACTAATCAGTCACTTACAGATCTAATCAACAGAAGTGTAAAAGAAATTTTGCAAATATACCAAGGTTGTTTTTTTCTTGGCAAATGTCCCAAGATGCTAGTGATCACGAATAATATAATGTCAAGGACGAAGATTACTTCTGCATACTAGGAACAATTGTGCTCAATCCAAAGAAATATTCAGTTTCTCATTAAACTAATCAATCAGTGATGTCACTCATATTTTAGTTCAGGGTACAATCAAACTTATTTATGAACAATTACTGTCAGTTTTTGGCAAGACATGCTATTAGTTGATCAGAAGTATTGCTAAAACCATCCGTATAATCATATATATCATCATAGATTACGATCAATGGGGCACCTAAGCTTACAAAGATGAAAAAGTGAAGCACAAAGATTTAATAGCATAAATAGACACACTACCAATTGATAATTTTAGAGCAGTCATGATTATGAAAGCCTTTGGGCTTTGACATATGAAGACATACCAAGCGTCCACCAGCAATAATGGCACTGATGGCAACTACAGCTTTTACAGCAGCAAGTCCAAGAGCTTCAGCAATGGCTTGAAAACCAACCTGAAAAGTTGGCGATAAGTTAAAGATTGACTTATAAAGATGAATTCTTTCATTCATATCCAATTTTTACTGTACCAGGGAGGCTCCTTGCTATATAACTTCTTACTATTCAAAATGTTTCTTAGTTGTTCATACTATGTCAGAAGCACTTATATGACACTCTAGGGAAATGATACTATCTAAAAACTGATTTGATTAAGAAATTAAAGGGCAGCTTCCCAAAACTAATATGATTATGGAGACACTGTAAGTTTGCTCTTCAAAGGCCTGTAGCCGTATGTGTCTTAAACATTGCAGGTTAGTATAAAAGTGTGAAACCGAAGTAGGAAAAGCTAATAATACCATCATAAAATGCTTGACAAGGGATAACAAAAGATATCACCCCCTGTAAAAGTAGGAAACACAAACTTTAAAGCATCTTACCCCTCCTTTGGATGAATTTGGTGAGATAAGAGGTATAAGTATAAGCAGAACCACGACTGCCAGATCCTGAAAAAAAAAAAAAAGAATCAAAAATGAGAAAATTTAAGTTATTCTAGCCGCATGATTTAGAACAGAAGATATACTAACAAAAGTTTATTAAAAGCACAAAGAGAAGCTGGGTATAACTATCAATGGAGGCACATTCCTATCAACCTTTTTTTTTTTGTGTGTGTCTGTGGAAAGGGGATTCCTATCAACAATTAAGATAACTACAAAGTTTAAAACCTGAACAATGATAAATAACACACAGATTCAAGTGTGGAGAAACAAAAACTGCAGGTGGCATGACAATTACAATGATGGCACTAATGGGACATGTTATAACCCCATTCTCAACTTAATACCAAATTCATAGCCCCTTAAACCATTCTTTAAAACACTATAATAATCTGGAAAAGTAGATTTAGCAAGGAAAAAAAAATCCAAACCTGGAAAAGTAAAACTGAAAATGTAGCGCGTCCATGACGTGATGTGCTTTCTCCCCGTTCTTGCAGCACCTGCAGAATAAAACATGCAAATTAATTCCTTTTGCCTCAACAAGGATGTTAATAACTGGACTGGTGGACCCTACAACAAAAATCAAGTGACAAGTGTTTCACCAATGAAAGGGAGTTTAGTGCAGTGAAAAAATGGATTTAGATCAGAATGTTAGAAATATATTTGCTAAAATTGCTTATAACCAGTACCTGCAAGACGACTGCAGTGGATGATAAAGCCAAGCCATTTCCAATGACAATTGCAGCAGGAACAGGCTGTCCACAAACATAATGAGCAACCAAGCCAACCACCACGGCTGTTGCCAGAACCTGCATTTACAGGAATATTAAGATTCCAAAATTTCAAACCAATAACGTAGAAGAGAAGTTAGAAAATTGCTAGAAACAAAACATTCTGATAAAAATAAGTTTAAAATCACCTGCGCAGAGCCTAATCCAAAAACATATTTCTTCATGGAACTCAACCTTTCAACAGAGAGCTAAAAAATGAAACAAAGTATTAGTAGCTAGCGCTAATGCTTTTCACTCAAATTCAAATAGGGTACAGAATTCATTCCTAGCTATGCATGTCAAAATTCCAAAGAAAAGTTATAGGGGCAAATCTAGAATAGACTCCACCTCAAGGCCAATATTGAACAGAAGGAAGACAACTCCAAATTCAGCAATTGCTTTTGTCCCATGTACATGACGTATTATGGAGAGGCCATATGGCCCAATTAAGATGCCAGCAGCAAGATACCCAAGGACGGGACTGCCTACAAATTGCAGTATACAAAAGATACACCACTCAATGAAAGGATAAATTATAATTTGGGAGTGATAAGAAATGTTTAAACCAATTTCATTGATGCAGATTGCACTTGCATTTTAAAAAAGAAAAAAAAAAGAAAAAAAAAAGGAAGAAGAATTTTCCTTCATCATACCTGTCGGATTATGTGGGTTATTTTGGGAAAGTTTTATTATAGAATATTTTTGTTAGTTTCCTGATTCTTAGGAGATTTAGCTAGCTGTATATTCTGGTGGTTTCTTTCTAGATTTTTAGGAGATTCTTTTGCTGATTCTTTGGCTCTCATATTTGTATTTATACCTCCTGTTGTAACCTAATTCGGAATTAATGAATAAGCTATTCTCTCATTTGTTTTTCCTCATGGTATCAGAGCTTTAGGCTTATTCCTGAGATTTCTTCCGTAATAGTCTGGCCGAATTCCTTCTTCGATTCCATTCGTCCATTCTCTCTTCTTTCTGGCCGATCTCTTAACCATGTCTGAGTCTGCGGAAACCACAACAACATCGGGCACTCCAGTAACAAAGAGTGTAGCTGCTGTCCAGCCCGGAGACCTACAAAATATTCATGCAGCATATCAACTGAACGGAAAGAATTATTTGAAATGGTCACAGCTTGTTCGGACGTTCTTGAAGGGACGGGGAAAATTAAGCCACTTACTAGGCACGGGTCCTTCAAAGGACGATCCGAAGTTTGCTGCGTGGGATGAACAAGATTCGATGGTGATGTCTTGGTTATGGAATTCGATGCTACCAGAGATAAGCGATACGTGCATGTTTCTCGGATCCGCCAAGGAAATTTGGGATGCTATCCGACAAACATATTCCAAGGTCAATGATGCTGCTCAAATCTATGAAGTTAAGACAAAGATTAATGCAGCCAAACAAGGTACACGAACTGTCACAGAATATTCAAGTTTTTTACAAGGCCTGTGGCAAGAAATGGACCACTATCAATGCATTCAGATGCGTTGTAGTGAGGATGCAGCGATTTTAAAGCGATTTGTTGAGAAGGAACGTATCTATGACTTTCTTGCCGGTCTCAATGTTGACTTTGATGCGGTCAGAGTGCAGATTTTGGGGAAACCAGAATTGCCGTCATTAAACGAAACCATTTCGATTATTCGTGGAGAGGAAGGAAGAAGAAGTGTTATGTTGGAGACAGATGGAGGAGACGGATCTGCCATGGTGTCCAAAGCTGTGAAGGCTAATGAAGGGAAGGAAACCATCCCTATTTCACCATTTGTTCCAGCCAATCAACCATTTGTTCCTGCCAATCAATCCAAATCCGCCAAAAGGGATAGGGACTCACTGTTTTGCACATACTGCAAAAAACACCACCATACCAGGGACCGCTGCTGGAAGCTTCACGGGAGACCCAACCGGGCTGCTAATGACAGGGGACAAGCACATGTTGCGAGCACTCAATCACATGATGAAGGAGGTTCTGGTTCGCATGATCTGACACTAGGTTTTCACAAGGAAGGAATTGAAAAATTAAGGAGTTTTTTGGAGACACTTGAAAAACCTTCCACGACAGGTACGGGTGGTACATGCTCACTGGCGTTTTCAGGTATTTCTTCCTCTTCTTGTGCTATTAGTGTCTCAGAAAAAATTTCTCCACGTACTTGGGTGATAGACTCCGGAGCCACCGACCATATGACCTATACCCCTAAATATTTCACGTCCTACACACCATGTTCTAGTCACCGAAAGATAACTATCGCTGATGGATCAGTTACTACCGTAGCTGGACAAGGAGACATTTATATCAATAATTCCCTCACCCTTAAAAATGTTCTTCATGTTCCAAAATTGTCGGCAAATTTAGTTTCTATTCGGAAACTCACCAAATATCTCAATTGCAGTGTAACGTTCTTTCCATCACATTGTGTGTTTCAGGAACAAGGCACAAAGAGGAAGATTGGACATGCTAGTGAGAGGGACGGTCTTTACTACCTGGAAAGTCGAAGTGGAAGAGCTAAGGTCGAAGATTCCCCATCTGCAACATTTCTTTCAGAGTCGGTCATGTCAAACAAAAATAAATTTGGCTTTATCATTGTCGTTTAGGTCATCCTTCATTCAGTGTTCTTAAGTTGATGTTTCCTTCCTTGTTCAAAGGGTCCAAACTAGAGTTTTTTCATTGTAATGAGTGTGAACTTCTTGTTTCACAAACATGTTCCTAAATCATACTGGGGGGAAGCAGTTCTAACTGCTGCCCATCTTATCAACAGACTTCCTACAAGGGTTCTTAACTTCAAAAGTCCCATGGAAATTCTAATGAATATTTTTCCTAACTTCCAGGCTTCCAATAACCTCATTCCTAGAATTTTTGGGAGTGTTGCCTTTGTTCATGTTCATTCTCAAAACAGAGGGAAACGTGATCCACGTGCTCTTCGTTGTGTCTTTATCGGATATTCTTCTACCCAAAAGGGGTATAAGTGTTTCCATCCATCCACAAGAAAATTCTTTGTTACTGCTGATGTTACATTCGTTGAAAATGAGTCCTTCTTTCAACATACCTATCTTCAGGGTGAGAATTTAGTTGAAGATAGAGCGAGGGACTTGCTTCTTGACTTTCCATCTCAAGTCCCATCCGTCCAGTCCATTCCTCCCGAGTCTATTCCATCTACCATTCCTCCCGAGTCTGTTCCTGGTCCAGTTCCACCGTCAGATGAGGGAATCCAAGACAATGCTCAACCATTGAAGCAATATTTCAGGAAGAAAGTTCGCGTTCCTCAATCCGTGCAGGTACAATCTCTGGTTAGTGCTACTGTTCAGATTCCCGAAACTGGTATCTTAACCACAGAAAGACAAACATCACCAGCCGAATCTAGCCAACCCCCAGATAATCATGAAAAACCAGATGATGAGGACCTACCCATTGCACTCAGAAAAGGAACTAGAGCTTGCACCAAACATCCACTATACCTATTTCTGACCTACCAAAACCTCTCCCAAAGTCGTAGAGCCTTCCTAAGTAGTCTCCATACCATAACCATTCCAAGAAATTTATCTGAGGCACTAGGGGACAAGAAATGGGAGAATGCTATGAAAGTGGAGATGGAGGCACTTGTGAAGAATAATACGTGGGAGTTGGTCGAGTTGCCAAAAGGGGTTAAACTAGTTGGATGTAGATGGGTGTTCACCGTAAAATACAAGTCGGATGGCTCAATTGAAAGATATAAAGCGAGGTTGGTTGCCAAAGGGTATACTCAAACCTATGGCATCGATTATCTTGAGACGTTTGCACCGGTTGCAAAGATGAGCACAGTGCGAGTCCAGTTGTCGTTGGCTGCAAATTTCGGATGGACTCCACATCAATTTGATGTTAAAAATGCCTTTTTGCACGGAGATCTGGAGGAAGAGAAATATATGGAAGTTCCTCTAGGGTTTGAATCAAAAGAAGGTATGGTATGTAAGCTGAAGAAGGCGCTCTATGGGCTCAAGCAATTGCCAAGAGCTTGGTTTGGAAGACTCACCAAGGTAATGATTGCCGCAGGATACAAGCAAAGCCAAGGTGACCATACCTTGTTTGTGAGACATTCGGATTCAAGGGGAGTGACGGCTTTATTGGTGTATGTAGATGACATGATAGTAACAGGCAATGATACTAGAGAAATGCGAGAGTTAAAGTAGCGGCTTCTGAAGGAATTTGATATAAAGGAGCTTGGGAGATTAAAATACTTTCTTGGTATTGAGGTGGCTCACTCAAAGCAAGGAATTTTCATTTCACAACAAAAGTATGTACTGGATTTGCTAAAGGAGACAGGGAAGCTAGGCTGTAAACCTATGGATACACCTATTGAGTTCAACCATGGACTATGTGAGGCACTTGAAGATTCGGCAATAGATAAAAGTTCCTATCAGAGGCTTGTTGGAAAGCTAATTTATTTGACACACACAAGGCCAGATATTGGATTTGCTGTCAGTGTTGTAAGCAAATTCATGCACAACCCTAAGGAAATGCATCTCAAGGCGGTCCACAGAATTCTGCAATACCTGAAGGGCAACCCTGGGAAAGGTATTTTGTTCAAAAGAGGACAACACATGACCCTCGAAGCCTATACCGACGCGGATTATGCAGGATCATTAGACGACAGAAGGTCAACCTCGGGTTACTGTACTTTTGTAGGAGGAAACCTTGTCACATGGAGAAGTAAAAAACAGAATGTGGTTGCAAGGTCAAGTGCAGAGTCAGAATTTAGATCAATGGCAGTGGGAATTTGTGAACTGTTGTGGTTGAAGATTATATTGGACGACTTGAAGATAAAGTGGGAAGGACCAATGAGGTTGTACTGCGACAATAAATCAGCTATCAGTATAGCTCATAACCCCGTGCAACACTACAGGACGAAGCATATAGAAGTCAATAGGCACTTTATTAAGGAAAAACTCGAAAGTGGCTTAATTTGCACTCCGTTTGTTTCTTCAAAGGATCAATTGGCGAATGTTCTCACCAAGGGCCTGTCAAATGCCATGTTTCAGAATATAATTAACAAGCTTGGAATGGAAGACATCCATTTACCAGCTTGAGGGGGAGTGTCGGATTATGTGGGTTATTTTGGGAAAGTTTTTTTATAGAATATTTTTGTTAGTTTCCTGATTCTTAGGAGATTTAGCTAGCTGTATATTCTGGTGGTTTATTTCCAGATTTTTAGGAGATTCTTTTGCTGATTCTTTGGCTCTCATATTTGTATTTATACCTCTTGTTGTAACCTAATTCGGAATTAATGAATAAGCTATTCTCTCATTTGTTTTTCCTCAATACCGAATTTTACTTGCATAGAGCAAGAACAATTTTTCTTCATCAAACCAAACTTCTTTTTTTTTTTTTTTTTGCTCAACCATCAAACTGAACATTGTGCTCCTAAAGTTAGACCTACACATCCCTAGCTTTGGTTGATGGGGTATGATGGAGGGTCTACTTAAAACTATACAATCGACAAAGATAAAATCACTTACCTCCAGGAATTTTCTGAAATATGGGCACAAATATTACACTTGCTAGCAATAACCATAAGACGTCAAAGAGGGAAGCTTCCTCCTCATTCACCTGAGGAAATGAGTAGAAAATCAGACAAGAAAAAACGGGACACAATATACTGAAGGAAAAAACATGTATAAACAACTTAGTAACAGACAACATACCTCTTGATGTGGGAGCATCTCAATTAATTTTTTAATTCTTTTGGGAATCTTCCGCAATTGTCGAACTACGGGCTTTGCACTTAATGAGACTTCTTCAATGGTAGTGGAGATGACATCTGGCTGTTGTAGCAGCTGAGTACTCCTTTCCACTCGATTGGCATAAAAGGTGACCCTGGCATAAATTTCAGCATCTTGGATAATTTAAGGCAAATTTTACGCCTTTACAACAATCTAATACTTGAGAGTTTCATCAAAAGAGATAAAATTGCAGAATCCTTTGTGAAGAACTAAGGAAGAAAAGTAATTGTAGACAAAGTTTTCACTATGAGGGAAAAATCTAGTAGCTTCTCAATTGCATTTGCAAGAAAGAGAAACGCTTATAAGTTATAAAGGATGATGTGCAAGGCTCCTTTATGTCATTATATCTTCACAGCATTCATGCTTAATTAAGAAAGAAAGGGAAACCTTAAAGAGAGGAAATGTATGGGAGCTTTCATAATTGTATATTACCCAGTTATTATATTGCGTTTATATCAGTCTCAAAATAAGTTTGATGCACCTCGCAGAACAAACCAAACACAATGCAATGCTGAGCAAAGCAGAAAAAAAAAACTTGTTTTATAGATCTAGAATAACTCCATGTACGACACAGCATTATATCGTATGAATATTGGAGACAAATGCAACTCAATTTGTCAAACAAACCTGATATCTCTTTCTTCCATTCTTTTTCTATAAAAGATATATGCAAAACAATTAATTGAAAGAAAATACAGTAATAATAACACATACCCTGCTCCAAATAGTACGAGCCCAAAAATGAGCTTGGGCCATTGCTCCCTCATGGACTCCATTACACCATGAAAGACTGATGCTGGTGTTAACTCTTTCCCATCTACAGTAAAAGAGAAGAATGATGCAGAAAAGAATCGGGAAGATTTCTTCAATAACGCTTTAGGAGCATTCGAGGATGAACTGTCCTTAGTTAGATCCTTTTGAGTTTCCAGTTTTTTGGATTGAACAACATTCTTTGACTTTTCTGGTTCTGCATCAGCTTCTTTTTGAGAGTCTAAAGTCAACTTTCCGTTCTCATGATCACTCAAATATTGAGTTTGATCCGAGTCTTCAGAACTCTGGCTGGTTTTTTCAGATAGACTATCTGGTAAAGTCTTGACAACCGACGAATCGCCATCTATCAAGACATCTATATCCCATTCAACAGAGATATCTTCAGAACTTCCTTGAACCACTCTATCCTCCTCCTGAGCAGCAGTATCATCACCTAACAACTGCCCTTGAGCTGTTTCTGTAGTATCAACAGTAGAGCTGGAAAGAGTCTTCTCTGCCTTTTGCAATGCAATTTCTGCATCATTCAGACGTTGTGTAGCCTCCAGCTCAAATGCAACAGCTTGCTCAGCCAAAAGCATTATGTTTGTCACATCTTCCTCAGCTTTTAGAGCATCCAGCTGCGTTTTCTCTGCAATCTCATTCAACCTATCCACCTGTTTCTGCAGCTCCTCCTTTTTACTCTGTAGCTGCTTCAACTCTGCCTCGCAATTTGCCAAATTCACCTGGCATTCCCTAATATCTTCCTGAGCATCCAAAAGAGCCTTTTCATCTTCCGTAACATCTCTTTGAAGCGCACTCGCTCCTGAAGTGTCTGGAGATTCAGCCCCACCTTTTGCAGCCTCTAAAGATTCTACTGCCACCTGAAGCCTCGCCTCTGCTAATGAAAGAGCCATCGTCGCTCTCTGGACTGCTTCTTTTGCAATGGATTCTTCATTCACAATCTGCTGAATGTTATCAAGTTTTAGATTAACATTAGTCCAAGCATTCGTTGCCTCATCCTGCAGAGCTATTGCAGCTTCAGATATCCTCTGCGCCTTTTCCTCAAACATTGTACTGTTGAGCCGTGCAACTTCCAATTCTGTAATGGCCTTTTGCAGCAGTTCCCTCAATTCACCCAGACTAGGTGCCTCCTTTTCTCCTTCTTGTTCTCCCCCTTCTTCTCTAGATCCACTCAACTCGCTACCATGGTCGGTCTCCCCCCCTGATTCATCACCACTTTCCAAGGATTCTGCATTTGGCCCGTTTCCATTTATGTATGCTAAAGAATCATTATTCTGACACTGCGACCAAACTGCTCTTCTGCCTCGGAAAGTAGTATGGAAACTACAAAACAACGATGCTCTATGATCTAAACTAAGTACATAACGGCCATCAGATTTCACTCTAGCAGCCAAACTTGCATTCCCAAAACCACTCAAACTCGTAATTTTCTTTGCCTTCTTACCGGTCCTCAAATTAAACAAGATGTGCGAATCAAAACGGTCAAATGTTTTACGACTCGTCCCTTCACTACAGCGTAACACATTCGGCTGCCGAAGACCACAACCGAGATCCATAATGTCCCAATTCTAAGAACAACCTTCACGAACAAAACCACTAAGTAACACTATCTGTAACCCATTTCATAAACTCTCATTTCTAAGTGGCATTTAATCGAACACCTGAAATGCACAAAACCGTAGTCACGTCTATTAATCCCGAAACCAATCAAGAAAACATCAGGGAAAAAAAAATCTAGAACCCTAAAACGATTGATATACATCCTTCAGGAGCAAAAGAATCGGCGCAATACAATAACATATTCAATATACGAGCAAATATGAAATCATTCATGTAAATAAATTACAATAATCTGTAACAATTGCATATAGACATATATGTATATATATTTGCGTGTATGTATTGTGTATATAGATTAAAGCGATTGTTGTAACTGCATGCATTTTGTACGTTTGTGAAGCAGACGGACCAACCGATCAAAAGAAGGTAAAATGGAAGAGGACCTGAGAAATCGAAGACGGAGTTCGAGAAAGTTAGGGGGAAAATGACAGAACTGAAAACGGAATCGACGTGTGCTTTTTTGTCTGTTTGGTTCCCCAGAGAGTGAGAGAAAATGAGCTCCAGTTTCTGCTCTCTCCTTCTCTCAGACAACTCTCCGCCTGGAAGGGGGAAAAATTACAAACAAATTAGCTTTAAGACCAAAAACAAAAATTAAAACAAAAATTAAAAGGAAGGAAAAAAAAAAGAAACTGTTAATTTGCTGATTTTTTGGGCAAATTTACTGAGGAGTTGTTTGGTTCATGGATTAGAATCATGAAATTAGAATCATTTTTTATTTACGTGTATTTTTTATGAAAAAAAAATAATGTAACAAATTATAAATCATGATTCGAATCAGGGTACAAATCCCCTAACCAAACGACCCCTAAAATGGCCTTGATTGGATAAATTTTTAATTGCTTACGCAATATATGCTACGAATATTCTTCTTTCAAGAGGCGCGTGCTCACTCGTGAATAGAGAGCGTGCAAAGTATGTACTATAGGTGGTAATTTGTGTCACGTGTCGTGTTTTGATCGTTTCTTTTTAAATTTACAGTCAACCCGAATACGACCTGTGACACGAAATTTTTTAAAAATCGCAACACGAACACGACACGACCACTTTACGAGTTGACACGACACGACCTGAAAATGACCAGTGACACGAAATTGACTCGTGAATTCAAAATTGACACGAAAATTGTATACTTTTATTTAGTTTTTTACATATTAGAAATAACTTAAAATTCATAACACACTAAATTACAATAACATCCATTGAAATTGAGTAAATAATAGTATAAAATTTTGAGTATAACTATCATGATATTACAAGTTCATAATAAAATTTAAAATATGAAATGAAAAATATATGTATTTTTTAGTTTTTTACGAGTTTCGTGTCGTGTTCAGGTTAGGCGGGTCCAACCCGAAATTGACCCGTGTTTTTCGTGTCAATTTCAGGTCGACCCAATTCTAACCCGAACCTCTTTTCTCTCAACCCTAGCCCGCAAAATTCGTATCGTTTTCGAATCGTGTCGTCATGTCGTGACCCATATTGCCGGCCCTAGTACGTACCAATAATAGAGAAGTTAAAGATCCGTTTAGTTTGTTGATTTGAGTTTTTAATTTAAATTGAGATGTAATTTTATGTGAAAATTTTTTATTGTAATAAAAAAATTAAATGTAATTATTTAAAAAAAAATTTTACTGTAATAAAATTTAAATTCTAAATTAAAATCTATAAAATAAAGAGGATTTAAGTGGGCTTGTGGAGTGGGCCTGCAGGAAAATCATCTGGACACGTCATTTTGTCTGGATTTTTTTTTTTTTTTTGAAGATTTTTTCTTTTTTGCCAAACATTTTTTGTCGAAACTTGTATAATTGTATGTACTCCTGACTTCTTAGTGCTGGTCAAACGACTCGAGGGACACTTTGGTGTCCAAAGCCAATAACCCAACAGAAATAAAAATTAAGGGCTTTTTTTTGGGTAAAAAACTCAAAAAAAAAATAATTTAAATTATAACTTTATTTGAATTCATATTTTTTTAAGTTTAAATTTGAGTTTAAATTCGAATTCAAACTTGAGTTTATGACTAAAGCTCGAGTTCAAGTTTCCCTTTCAACTCGAGTTCAGAAATTCAAACTCAAATTAATAAACAGTATTTTTTCTATTCTTAAAAATACTATAACTTTTTCGTTTTAATTCTGATTGAGATGATTTTTTTTTCTATGCGTTGACAACGAAAAGACGAATAAAACACGACCCATATACCCTATTAAAATTTTTCATCAGCATTGAGTTTTTATTTAAATATTATCTAAATACAAATTCAACTTTTGATTCACTCAAACACAAACTCAAAAAGATTCTTATCTCAAACCATAACTCAAATGTATACAACCAAACACAAACTCAAGTTACAAGTTCAACTCAAGTTATAACTCAAATTCAACTCAAGAATTATACTCAAGTTAAACTCTAAAAGAACAAACCAACTTTTTATATGACAAAAAGGAGCAAATTCGTATTTTAGTATTGGTAAGTCCGCGCGTTATTATAAAAAAATACTGTTATATTATATAAAAAGTTAAAATTTTTTAAAGTATAAGATTAGTTTATATATAGATAGATATATTTATATAATATTTTAGTTAAAAATTTCTTATAATGTATTATAGTTTTTTTTCCTTTTTTTCTTTTATTTTTTTAATTGTAAAATACAAATTTTTTAAAAAATTAATAATAATAATTAAAGGAGTTGAAAATTTTTAATTATATGTAGTATAAATTTAAAAATAGTTATATTATTTAGTCTTTGTGCATTTTTTGGGTCGTCTATTTCTTTTAGTTCAAAATTGAAATGATAAAAAATTATTAAAATATGTATTCAAAATAATAAACGTTAATTTTTATTAATAATTGATATAAATTAATAAATACAAAAATAAATAAAGAAATAAAAAATTGAGAATAAAAGTGTACAATCAGACCATAAAATAAGAAAAGACTTAAAAGCTCTTGCGCATGAACAAAAGAAGAAAAGAAAAAAAAAAAAAAAAAAGGCAAACTCAACAATTTAAATTCAAGAGGCAAAACTGATATTTTACTGTACTATGCACAGTAACTCATGGCTCTACTTTGAAATATATAGTAAGAAAGTCTCCCAATGTGATTTGCTACATTATTTAAAAATAAAAATAAAATAAAATTGAGAGAAAAAAAAAAACAAACAAATAAACAAGCAAAACAAAGTGGCTATTTGGAACCCATTCTGGAAACGTTTTCACGTTTTCGGAGGAGCAAAAAATAGAAATGGTCTGAAGAATGTGTTTGGAGCACCATCCAACCAAAAACAAAACTGAAAACGTTTTTGGCTTTTCTCACAAAGTCGCATAGTTTCTGAAAACGATTTTTACTCGTTTTCCTTTTCCCATTTTCATTTTTCCTCACTATTTTCTCGTACCTCACCAATCTCGGCCTCTTCGTCTTCATTGTCGTCTTCGCCGACTCAGCTCCGTTTTCCGAAACCTTAATCGTGCCTTTTCGCTGGCGATGCTGCGAGCTCATCGTCGCGATCGCCGGCGAATAAATCGTGCTTTAAAGTTTTCCAGGGCGCCGCAAACAGTGGTCGTTCGCCTGAAGATCTGGAAATGTCCTCTCTCCTCCATTGCCGGATATCCTCTTTGTTCAACTCAAACTCAGATCTACTCGTCGCCGTGGATGCGAGGCCCACATATGTCGTCGTAGTTGCGAGACCCAAAGATCTAGCAGACCCTCATCGCAAAACTCTCTGTCCTCCCATCAAAACTCGCCGTTCCTTATCAGTCACAAGCCACCCGTGCTTGTCGCCTTCATCTCGGAACCTCAAACACCCATTCACGATTCCGGCGAGCAGAAGAGAGAAGATAGAGAAAGAAATAAGATTGTAGTTAATTAAAATCTGATTTGAAATAATTTTCACGGTTGAAATTTTGTTAAACTTGAGAAATCTTTATCCCTCTCCTCAACTTCATATATGACTGATTATTTTTTCTGATCTTGTGTTGCTAGGTGTTTTGACTTTTTAATGACTTTGCCCAGGATTTGCATCTTTTTCTCTCATTTCTCCTCTATGTGTTCTTCGTTTTACGGTTGCATCGTTTTTGGGTTGTTGAGATTCTGAGTTTTGGATTGCAAGGAAAAAGAAGAATTATTGCCCTTCGATTGTGATTGTTCTCTCTGTCTCTATCACTATGTTTTTTTATTGCTGTTTGCTGATATTTGTGAGGAATTAAATGAATTTTGTTGATGTTAGATGAATTCTTACCCTTCGATTGATGTTAGATCTGTACATTATTATTATGATTTATGAATAATTGAGATTAATATAAATGAATTATCAAACAGTATTTTTGTTTTTTTTATATTAAAAATAATTTTAGAATAAAATTACTAAATACATTTTTAAAAATAAGTTTTGTTTGAAATTAAAAACGTTTTTATTTTTATTTTCATATTAAAATTAAAATTATTTTAGAACGAATTTTAAACGCACGCTTCCAGCAAAAAACCGAAACAAAGGCTTTTTTTTTTTTTTTTTTTTTTAACTGTGGTGGGGATTCCATTCCAACTCTTTTATTCTTCGTATATTCACAACTGAGAATGATAAGAAAAGTCGTACCCCTTTCCAAGGATCTCTGTCTTCAAGTGGAAGTGTAGTTGGTTTTCATGGCAAAAAATAAATAAATGTCTCCTTTTTCCCTAAATTTATCATATCTAAACAATAAAAGAATAGTAAAAAGAAAAAAAGAAAAAACCAACGTCATTTCACATTTATGTTTTAGTAAACTTACTAAAATGACATGTCATTTTATTTCAAATGACACCTCGTTTTATCTTTTAGTATCAATGGCACATTATTTTATCTTAATGATAAACGACTAACAAATATCATATAAAGACACTTTTACAACAAATATTGAATACTTACTAATACAAAACAGTAATGTCTCCCAAGAGTTAGACGGAGTAGTTGTGGGTTCCTCCTTAAACTCTCACTAATAGAGAGATCTAAGATTCAAGCTCAGGCTCCCCTAATCTCAAAGGGTGCTTACCGTTTCAAAAAAATAAAATAAAATAAAATAGTAATGTCTCTTGTTCACATTTCAACGCGCCTTATGTAATCTTCTTTGATAGGAATGGAATATTGGTTATACATGTGTGTATGTGTATTTATATTATATATATGATTTACAGCTAACCTATGTTTGCAATAACTGGCATATTTGTCTTTGGAATAATAGAGCAAAAACAGAGAGGATCCACATAAAACTAAAATCTCACTTAGGGGTGTGCTTTAGTATAAAATATTATTCATCAAATTGAATGCATATTCTTGTCTAATTTGCAGGAAAAAGAAAAACAACAAAAACAATTCATTTATTAATCCATGTATAAAGTGACATAATTCAACAATCTCTCAACCCTTAGCTAAGCAAGCTCAAAAATTCATTTTGCTGAACAAGTTAGACATAAATTTGGAGAGGATGTATCCCTTTCTGCACCCAGTAAAAAGTTCCCAGTAACACTATGAAGATAATTAAGACCAGGATATAAGGTTTAATTTAAGTCCCTGCTCATTTAAGATTAGCCTTAATTGTGCCTAGATGTCGGAAACCGCCGGTTACGATGACTGATCAGCTGTCTCGGGTGGTGGAGTGGCGTTTTTCTTGTTAGCAGCCGCTTTGAGGACATGGCTGTAGTTGCCCTTCTCCATGAAGAGCTGCTGAAAGTGGTGCTTGCAGTAGAGCACTCCATCAAGAGCAGCATAGGATGAGTGTGTAAGAGGACACCCTCCATGAGCACACCTGAAGCATGACTTATGGTAACACTCTCCTTCCAGTGAGACCTGTTTAGTTGATTAACAAGATTTTCCGAAGAAAAGATTAAGGAAAGAAAAAGATAACGAAACATAAATCATAATTAAGAAAGGCATATTTGAGAAAAATAAAACAACATGTGATTTTACACGATGACATTGCTTCATAAGAGATATGTTAGAATCACTCTTTTTATCACTCCCTGCATTTATTATTTGACACGTGAACTCTATTATCTCATTTTTTGTCTAAATAATAATATCATATTAGTGGAGTCCACGTGTCAAATAATAAATGTAAAAAGTGATATAAGAGTAACAGAAAGATTGATACTCGCATTTCTCTACGTCACATAATTTACTTAATTAGAAGTATATTACAAGTATTCGAACACTTAAAAGTATTATATCGTTGTACTTGTCCAATAACATTTTATGGAGCAATATCTATCCGTTACAAATGGGGTTAAGCACCAATTTCTAATCTAACTAATCATAGCACTTGCGCGTCACAATATTTGGACTAGAAGCCAAAGAAGCTCAATATTTTCCTATTTGATTACTGGTTTCAATGTATCTTTTTATTAGCACCCAATTAGCATATCAAGATGATAATAAAATCTTTCTAGTAGAATCTTATATAGCTTCTTTGTGTTTATTTCATTGAAAGAGAAATAGACGAGTGTTTCTCTTTTCCATTTAATCATGTGCTTACTTTCAAAATTAAAAATGGTAGTTTAGGATGCGCTATGCAATACAAAGAATATAAAAGATTTGTAAAGACTCACCCTTAAAAGAGAATAGATATCAAATTTACTCTTATAGTTTCACATTATAAGCGAATGATTGTTTATGTAAGTCTAGTAAAAATGAGAAAAGGAATTAGATTGTTTCTCATCCTACCTTTCAATAGGTAAATAATTAAACACTAGAAAGTAAATCAACGACTCTCATTCTTATTTTTTTATTTTACTTTCCAAATCTGTTACCTTTCCAATTGTCTTTCATTACTGTTTGAGACACATGTTCTTTGTAGAATGAAAAATTCTTAAGAATCACAAACCTTCTCCAGAGGATAAACAGTTTTTGAGCAAGTGGCACATTTGTCTTGGGTTCCAGAGAACAAGGAAGAGAGCTTGCTGGGGGCCCTTGCCTGTAGAAAATTAAAATTTACATCATAATTCAACTCTTATACTAATGAACTGGAAATATGGATGAGAAATATTTGTTTGTTCCATATTTAAAGGTAAAAAGGATCCATATTCTATTAGAATATCTTCATTAATTCCATGAGACAATCAAAATAATACAAGGAGAATTTGGAAAAGTAGATATACCAGTTGATCATTCTGTCTCTCAGAAGACTTTGCTGTGACAAATTTTTCACCCACACGTTTATTGTTGTTAGCAAATAAACCCAAAAGGAAAACTCAAAAGAAGAAAGAAGGAAAAAGAAAGAAAGCAAAAAAGGGCAGTTATTACTGTTAGATATTAAAAAATAATAATAAAGGAAGAAGTGAAAAATGTTTTTTTTTTTTTTTTTTTTAAGCAAGAGTGTTGAAATGTTAATACCTGTCTGGAAATTCTTACTAAAATTTCCAGATTCCTTGAAAAGCTGCTCAAAATGAGGCTTGCAGTAGAGGACTCCATCCATCCAGGAGTAGCTGCTCATCTGTCAAACATTATTCAGAATTAGGCCTCTTTTAAACTGCTCATATTATTTGATCATTTACACACATACACAATAAACAAATGTATTAACACTTTTCCTCATAAGATTAGGCTTCTTCATTTTTTCTTTTTCATCGTTTGATCCATATTACTTATAGTATCATATACTTTTATCTAGATCTTAGAATTACATTTTCAAAGATCTCTTCACAACAGCAACAACAAATTTCATTCCATTTTTTTTTTTTTTTTTTTTTGAGAGACAATTTCATTGTATTTCTGGTAAAGAAAAATGTATGTACGTGAGAGAAGAAACAATTAAAAAAAAAAAAGGAATAAAAGAAGAAATTTATATACCGAGAGAGTTCCTTTGCAATGGCTGCATTTGAAGCAGGATTTATGGTAAGGCACTCCTTCAAGAGACATCATGTCAACCACGTAAACAGTCTTGTTACAAGCCTTGCATTTATCCAAAGTTCCTGTAAATGCCATCTTTTTTCTTTTCCCCTTCTTCAGAAAAACGCTAACAAAACAAAATTTTGCGCAGTTTTTTTTTATATATTAAAAAAAATGTGTTCTTTCTGATTTATTTTCAGATAATTAAGAGGAATCAATAGAGAAGGGTTTGAAAAAAGAAGCACCGTGGATGTGAGAAGACAAAAGGGATATATTGAACAAAGTCTTAATTTGGTCCTCCTAAAAAGAGCCAATTTATTTTTATATGTCAGATTATAACGGATTTCATAAAGGCCAGTAAATGAAGGACAAGTGAACGGAGATCCCAAACATGTGAAGTAAATATGGGAAATGAATGCTCCAAAATTGTGGACGTTATCCGATTGAATTGGAGTAAAAGAAGGAATTGGTGTGCTTGACTTTGACTTTTTCAAGGTTCTTAAGATGGACAATACAAAAGCCAACTGTTTTTTTTTTTTTTTTTTTTTGGCCTATTGGTTTTGTGTGGTAGTTATTTCGGTTAAAAGTTAGTTATATCAGGTGTGTATTGCTATAGGATCAAGGATGGTCGCTAGATCTGAAGCAATCCAGCTTGTTCAAAATTGAGGGGCTACCGATCTGGCTAGCAAATGGGAAAAGGAAACGGCTTGAAAAATCCCTATTTGAATATATTTGTAATGCAATATAAAATAAAATATCAAAAGAATGAGGTGGCATTGAAAAAAAACTGATAATAAAAAAAATCATAGCGGTCGCAGCATAACTTAACGGTAATTCCACACTTAACTAGAGTTTAAATCATGCATCACCAAATTCAAAACAAAACAAAACAAAAAATCTTACGATAAAAACTTGATTTAGCTACAAAATAAGGAACCTGTACTTTATTCTGTTTTGGGGGGTAAATAATAATTGGTTCATACTTTTCCAAGTATTGTGGGTGCCTTGTGAAATGAAAATTGAATCTCATTATTGAAAATAAACAGATGTTTGTGGTCGAGTATGAAGAAATATGCTACCAGTAGGTTACAATTTTAAATCGGTTATATAAAATGATATGAAATTCAAAGGAACTTGATATAGATCTCACAACGCAAAATATATTTTACCGTTATGATATTTTTCATAAAGAAATAAGCGAATCGAAAATATAATGTTAGTGTTTTTTTTGTGTTGGCTTATTTTTAGCAAATTGGTTGTAATGCATTCTAAAATAGGCATCTGCTGGTTGACTTTCAATGGAGCATTATGGCTGGTTCTTCTAAGGAAAGAATTGTGAGAAATATTAGAAATGTTTGTCTTCTTACTGTTATTGGTGCTGTGATCTGATTTGGAGGTTAACGGAGAAGATTTTACCACGTTTTGGGTGTGCTTATTGGTGGACGGATTCAGGGTTGGTGAGGTGTGATGAATTATACAGTGGTATGTGTGCTTTTGATATAGGGGAGAACATGAGTGAAAGAATAGGTGCTGAAAACAGAATATTGGCAATTGTTCATGTCTGAATGAGATTGGGATGTTAAGTGTCGTTTGATGTGTTGCGACGAATTGTTATAACACTTTTGAGTTGGTTATTCGCGAGAAGATTTTTTTAGTTTCGCGAGAAAACCGTCAAGTCGAGTGGTGCTCGTGGATCAAGCTTTCTAAGGAGATTCTAGGCAACGGCGACATCGTCAAGGAGGGAGTCGTTGAGTGTGTAAGACCGTTCGGTCATTTGTAACTTTTGAACTTAGTGGATTGATCATTGTCTGGGCGTGGCCCCGCAGAGTAAGTATGTGCACCGAATTGCGATACCATTTTCTGGTGTCCTTTATGTTTCTGCATTAGTTTCCTGCTTTACTGTTTTGCTAGTTTAATTTTAGAT